GGAGAATATTTTTAATTGGAAATTTTGATGTAAAATTTTTTTTTTTTTTTTTGAAGAGTTGAAGTTTATTTCTTGTAATGGAATTTGTGTTCAAGTGAAGAATCTTTGAAATTTGTTCATTACAGTGGAATTTGTGTCGATGGGGAGTTTGTTAGAATTAGGGTGTGACCGGAATTCTATTTGAAATGTTATTTGGAATTGTATTATAATCTATTTGGCAAATTCTAATTGAATATATATATATATATATATATATATATATATATATATATATATATATATATAGCTCTTCATTGTATTTTAGATAAATTAGACAAAATTATAAATACAAAATTTTTGTACTCTTTCTCCATATTTCAATAAAATCTCATTTACTCTGAAAATGATTTTGTTCGTGTGATCAATTATTTCATATTGTGCTCATAATCTCGTATTTTCTACGACAAATTGGTGTCAGAGTAATTTGATCATTTTCATTTTTCAACAAAAATAATGTACACGTCGTATCACATAGATAAATTAAAATATTTAATATTTGGTCACTTTCTCAAAGCCTTATGATCACATATGACGGGTGACTAAAAGGTAAATAACAGCAAATAATTATTACTATTTTAAGGTAGCAAAATTTCTTAAATTTCGACCCGCATTAGTTTTCGCCCCTATTTTGTCTCCATTAATTTTAAAATGTATTTTTCTCTTTTTTCTTTTTAATTATATACGTAAATCTAAAATTTTCTTTTTTAATCATACATTTTTCAAAAAGTTACTATTGCAAAAATACATGTTTTCCCAAAATCTAATTATAATGAAGCTCGAATAGGGGCTCAGTAAAATTTTAAATAATTATAGATTTTTATCCTTTATATACTATTTTCTTATTAATATCCACTCAAAATTACAACTCGAACTTGTACTGAAAATCAAATGAAAATGAGCTTTGAAATAGTAAATTTTTGGAGAATGTGATATTAAAAATATAAAGTTTTGAATTTATGTATAAAATATTTTATTGTGAGAATGTATGATTCACAATGAGTTTGAAAAAAAAAAAAAAAAAAGAAGAACAATTTTAAAATAATGATATAGGAGCTTAATTTCTGTACAAATACTTCGTTGTAAAGGGCCCCCAAACTTAATTAGCCTATACATTTTTAATATCTTTCAAAAAAATAAAAGTAAGATAGCGTCACAGAGATAGAGAGGTGGTCATTCATGGCGGTTTTGGGTTGTCTAACATGTATGCTGTCTCCAATTCTACGCAATCAAATCCCACCTTCAAATTCAAACAACTCCCATCTTTTGACAAGGCGTAAAGCCTTGACCTTTACTACTTCTATTGCTGCCTTTTACTTTCATTTTTGTCAAAATTCAGATATTTCTGGTTTTTCCCCTGCCATTGCCCAACAAGTGGATGAACTTCAACAAGAAGAAGATCGGGATGTTCAACTCTTCCAGGTCCCAAAATTATTAGTCAAATATATTTGAATTTATTATACCATTATTGACCTGGGACAGTTCCATTACATCATAGTTAATTTGTTCAGTTTCTGTTTCTTAATTGTTATGATTGTCCTTATAATGGAGTACGCTTGGAGATGGATTTGGTCCATTTGGTATAAAATTATAAAAGAACTATCTTCATCAAACTGAAAACCCAATATGCATCGACTCTTTAAGGTGTTTCTTAATGTATGCTATTCTGAAAATGGAAAAAACATATGATTTTACTTTTGAAGCTTTTAAATTTTACTAAGATTTTAGGACAATGGTAATTCTGATTTAAGTGCCCATCAAATTGGTAATCCACATTGCAGTCAGCAAAGAAATCTCCTCCAGCATCCATACGAAGTCCTGCACATACTTTCCCAGATCAATATCTATTGTTGAAGAGTATACTTTATCCACGATTCAATTTTAGTGTATTCTAATAAATTATATTTTCATAATTATGAATTGCTGGTTAAAAGAATTTTTTCATTCCCTTCCAGTTTCCAGTGGAAAATTAGTGCAACAATGGGAGGGTACGAGTTACTTTCCTGTGCCACTTAATAGGAACTCAACTGGAATCTCATTCTCAAGCTCTTTATGATTGTCAAGATTACCTAAAATAGTTCTTATACTCACTAAATTATTGTATAATTTGTAGGGAACTTCATCTTCTGTTGTATTCATTAAAGACCTTGAATTAGCTAGAATCCCCAAGAGTACCTCTGAAACTCTGCTAGCTGAGGATGAGAATGCAAAAGTGCAAGGGACAGGTTCAGGTTTCATCTGGGATAAGTTTGGTCACATTGTAGGTTTTTCCCACCTTTTTTCTAGTCACTTTTAAGTTCTACTAGTCATGTGCCATCGCTTCCAGAAACATTGAAGTCATCAATATGTCCTAAACAAATTGTTGTATTTTGACAGGTGACGAACTATCATGTAGTCGCTAAATTGGCTACAGATAGAAGTGGCTTACAACTTTGTAAGGTTCTGTTTATGCTTTCTTGATTCTTCACTGTCCCGCGTCTTAGTTGTTTTAATCTATATACACTTGAATGCAAGTGAACAGGAAGTTTTTCTTTCCGTCCTTGTTCAGGTATCTTTGGTTGATGCAAACGGTAACAGCATTACTAGCGAAGGCAAGATTGTTGGATTTGATCCAGACTATGATTTGGCAGTCCTTAAGGTGCCAAGTGCTGACTGTGACCTAGATTCAATATATCCTGGAAACCTTTACAGGCTTTAACATTTATGTTGGCACAGTGTGTAATCATCCTCAACATGTACATTTAAGTTCCCAATAACCCATTATGTAGATTCATAATTTAGCAATACCATGTCTTTGTTTTGGGATAATCATTTTAATAGGAAAATTCTTTAGCAGGGCCTAGATGATTATTAATGTTATGTTTGGGGCGGAATGGATAGCACCTGATAGATTTAAGGAGAAAAAAAAATTTTAGAATCTTTTTCTTTATACTCTTGAATATGTCTAGTACTGCATAACAAACATGCACTAAATATTTTGCTTGGTAATATATTTGTTCTCTTCTCCCTCAATTCTGCAGGTTGATCTCAAAGGAAATGAACTGAAGCCAGTTACTCTTGGTACATCTCGTCATTTACACGTGGGTCAAAGCTGCTTTGCAATCGGAAATCCATATGGATATGAGAACACTTTAACAACAGGGGTAAATTTTTAAGAAATTTGAACTCTATTTATATTTAATTTTTGTGAAAATTATTTTGCATCCACTCCTAGTTTCTTTTGGGAACATTCTAAAGGAAAGTAGAAAATTTATTTTATTTATTTATTTCTTGAACTTCACATAGTTCAACTATCACAGGTTATAAGTGGATTGGGCAGGGAGATCCCCTCACCAAATGGAAAATCCATTCGAGGAGCCATTCAAACAGATGCTGCTATTAATGCAGGTAATTGTCAATTTTCATGAATATTTGACCTTTTTAGTGGGTTTTTTCTTCTCCTTTTTCTTTTTTCACGAATACTGATCTTCTGTTGTTCAGACCATCAGTTTCGATTAAGAAGCTGATAGATGTAATTAACAGGCATTTCTCATCTCACAAAGTACGAGTTTTTTCAATTTTGATGTGAAGTTATTTAGTGCAGGGAATTCAGGTGGACCATTGATTGATTCCTATGGTCATGTTATTGGTATTAATACAGCCACGTTCACTCGCAAGGGTAAAGCAATTTCCTTTCTCATTATAGGCCATTTTACGTAAATTTTAAGAAGATCATGGAATCGAACTTATACAATGTATTTGAATTTGAACCGTAATATAGGTACTGGGATGTCATCTGGTGTGAACTTTGCAATACCAATTGACACAGTCGTCCGCATTATACCTTATCTGATTGTCTATGGAACACCTTATACCGACAGATACTGACAGCATCCTGTCCTCATAGGTGATCTTTTTTTCAATTTGCTTGTTCTCAAACTGGTTTTCCAGGAGGACGATGTACTGGATAAAAGCACCAGGCCTCGCGTGGAAACCCTTCTGTTTTCAGTGGATCCACGTTCGCCTCTTAATTTCTTCTCTTTATTAGAAGAAGATAGTAGCCTTATCTTGTCTATTCTCTGATAAGTGGGATGCTAAGATCAAATATAATTCATTCTGAACAGTAATATTTTCGTTGTTTTTTACTGTTGTTGTGGGTTCTTTAGTATTGACAATTGAGATGAAATTGACATGTAAAATTAGCTGCCATATAATCATTAAACAAAAGCATAAACAAGAAATATTTTTTTGCTATGATGGAGTTTTTGAAAATTTGAATCCTTGTATTTTCATTGATCTATTCAACACCATACCATTTCTTGTGTATTTCATATATCTGATGAAAATCAGGAAGAACCCTGGAAACACCTTCTCTTGCCAAACATCTTTTAACCCAAGCTGATAATTTTGGGCACTCTTCCTCCAGTTTGAAGCTTCCATGACTTTCATATCCACTAAACATGCTTGAAAAGGGGATAAACGCCACATCCAAGTATCCAAATTTGTCACCTCCAAAATACAGTTTTTCACCCAAGGCATCATCCAGTAGTTTCAGTTGACCAATCAATTCCTTCTTCACATCTTCTTTTGTTTCACCTTTGCTCTTCAAGAACTTCGCTTGTGTGTCGAAAATCTGCAGATTAATAATATAGAATATGTTTAGTACATAGTATTAGATATGGGACTAATGTCTTGATGAGATTAAGGGAAGACAACGAACAAACCTTGTTGTCTACATATTGAGCCCAGAACCTTGCAACGGCTCTCTCATAAGGATCCTCGGGAAGTAATGAAGGAAACCCGTCTTTCCATCTTTCATCGATGTATTCAAGTATAGCTAGAGAATCACAAACTGGTTTTCCTTCGTCAATCAGTATAGGTACGGATTTTCGAACAGGGTTCATGTCCAAAACCAACTGGCTTCTTTGAGGATTCTCAAGATTTTCTTCCTCGTACTTGTACATAATACCCTTTTCTTCCAAAGCAATCCTCACCCTCATACCAAACCCATTAGCCCAGAAATCGACCACCACTATCTCACAGCTGCCACTCATGTCCATTTAACGATCTTGAAAATTCTCAAGTTTATTGAGGTTTTTATGCATTTTGATTATGCAAATGGAACTATTTATAGGCCCTATTTTCAACGGCTTGTGTTAACTTATTCGAAGGATGAGTTTTGTAACCAATTACGTTTTCCCCAGTATTGTCTGAAATGTCATTGATTATAACTTTATGAAGAATCGTGGCAGGCTTATTTGTCATCGTCGGCTTTTGAGAAGATTAATTTAATGGAATGGAAATAACCCGAGAATGGGATGTCTGCACCAATACAAAGCTTACAAGATTCACGTAAGAAAGGGGGAGTGTTCCATATGCTTATAAACCAACAATAGACTTTCTACGAAGAATATGAGACTCAAAAGTAATCCTTAAATTACCGTCAAGCAAAGGAGTTCACGACAAACCCAAGAACACGTGATCGAAGGAAAAGAAATGTAAATGAAAACACTACGTAAGAAAAATCCAAATAATGTCGAGCGAATAAATTATGCACATCAAATATTATGATTTCTTCTCCTGTAATGATAACAGAGACAACTGTTCATCAATGGCGCAATCCACATGACAAGAAGTTCGACAAGAGAAAGGAATCAAAATGAGACCAACACCTCTATGCTCCATCGGGGAGGGAGAAGAACGTCTAGTGCTCCGATATTCTATAGCATCTTGAAGAATTATGTTTCCTTGCTTATCCATGCAATAGAATGTACCTATAAAGAACCGCCCGTCCTTGATTCCAACCAGCATTGGGCGAAACAGCAGCTTCTTGACATGTGCTACATAATTTGAGCTGTTTGATTTGGATGCATCTAGGGATGATTCTGCTTGCTGTTCGGTTTCCATGAATTTCTGTTACTGCAAATGAAATTAACCCAGCATAAGACTCTGTAAAGTACAAATTGCTGGTATAGCCCAATAGGGATACAGATAATCAGCAAACCAGGCTAATATTGAAGATAAAAATAAAGCTTGCACTTCGATTAGACAATGTCAAGAACACACATTCAACTAGCAAAACAAAGAACAAATCTGGAAATTCATAGCTTTACATATTTAGACATCAAAATTTCACTATCGACTACTTGAAAACCAAGTGATGAGTGCATTATTTGAAGTAACGAGATTTGTACCGAGAGCATCCAGCAAAAATGTGTCAATATTTCAATAACTAAATGCACAAAGTATAAAATGTGAACTGCCTATGTTGATAACAGTATGTAGATCTTGAAGAACATCGTAATAAAGGACGGACTAATTGGTTGATTTCGAGACTTGCTACAATAGCTTTTGCAGTCTGCAAATCATAACATGTCCTATAGTTTGCATACCGACCGAAAACTTCACCAAACTCGGACAATATTTCCAGAACTCACTTAACCTACCCATCCCAAATCCTTTAAGCAACATCATCTTCATTATGTCCTACTCTATGAACTATTTTATTTCATAACAACATAAACTGCCACAGTTCCTCTTAGGACATTTGAAGCATTACGATATTCAGAAGCAACATCATATTCCCATCACCTTAAAAATTGGAACAAGTCAAAGGGTTGGCTTCAATTTGAAAAATCATAGATGTCGACACACATTTTTTTTTCTTAACTAGCATTTTGCAGGACACAAGCTGTCTTCAATACTCTTCATTTGTAGTATGTTAATAATCATGCTTATACACAATTTTCTGGATTTAATTTAAAAGCAAGAATGTTGATTCAGCCTCTATTTACTTTTCCCTTCAGGCAATGCCAGTGTTCAATTCACTTGAAAATGTAGAAGATGCAATTTTTTCCAAAATAATGACTACCTCAACAAGCTATTGACGAAATGCGCCCATGAACGTCCACAAAGCCTTCTAATCTTGACAAATAATTTAATTAAACAGAAATACCAAGCTACAAGCGAAAGAATAAAGGAAGTATAGTGGCTATTAAGAAAGATTAGCTTTGGATAGTAGGTGAATGCATCCATGGGCGGAGCCACAGGGGCAACTGCCGCCACCGGATATTTCCCCAGTTACACTTGAAGGGCAGCCAGTTTTTAAGGCAAGGAGAAAACCACAAACAACCGCATAAAAAAATTTGAGAGAAATGTGTTGAAAAAATCCCTGTTGCTAGAGGAAGATTACCATCAAGAAACAACAATTTCGGAAAATAAATAAATAAATTATAAGGAGTTGAGTTGAAATTAAAGCATTCACTACAATCAGATTGTGTGAGATTTCAACATATGAAGCCCGGCTTACACTGATAAAATCGCATATTACCTTCCAATTTCTTGACGAAGAATTTTTGTAGAAATCACTGCAACACAAGATTGGATTTGGGTGCCAAGGGGCGATGAATGTCTCCCTTTTTTTATACTCATAATACAAGAAACGTGTTCAAGAATACAAATGCCGTTTTTTAAATTTCTTGTAATCATAAAATATTTTATCAAGGTAAAATGAACAATTGCCCTTAAGATTAATTGTAAAACCATTCATTTCCAAATATGAAATTAAAATAATGTTTTTGGTAATGATGGGAACAAAATAAGAGTTCTTTAATTCTAATACTAAGTACGAAGACAATGATATTAAGGTCTCGTTTAATTATCATTTTTATCAAAATACATTTTTTTCGAACTTCTTTTTAACAACACATTCTTCGTTAAAATAATATTGCAATGTAAATCAAAAAAAATTTCTTATTTTTCATCCATACATTCTCCATCAATCTACTATTCTAAAATTCATTTTTTCATAAAAATTGGTATCAAACACCCTCTAAGTATGTTTCATACAATTAATGCTGGGATTGGATAAAAAACAATTATTGAATGAGGCTAGGGAACAATCAAAAAAGAAATCTTTATTGGTTTTACCTCCTATTTTTTATGAAAAAAATGAATCTTTTTCTCGAAGAATCAGAAAAAAGGGGTCTGGATCCTACCTTAATCTTAAGATATGAGTTAGGCCTTCAAGAAATCTTACTCATGAGGTATCAGGTTGAACCCAAATACATTACCTATACAGCCGCTTCCCAAAATAAGGGGAGATCTGCTGCTTACTACTCACAGGTTAACTTCTGCCTTTTAAAATTTCAGCAACAAATATACTTAAAGTAGAAGTTTCAAAGGACTTATTTTCCCTCAAGTTGCGAGGTAAACCTTGTGGTTTTTCTTCCAATGGCCTTTCATCCCACAATGATAGCTAAGGTAACCAAACTTAAAATTATCCTTCTTTTCTTTGACTACATTCTTAGATAACCCCCCGTTTGGCTCCCATTTTTTGGTAATGAAAATGGGTGGAATAGTATTTTTTGAAAAATGAATGGTTGAAAAAAAAGAAAAGTTTTCGATTTACGTGGAATATTATTTTTATTTAAGATTGTGTTGTTGAAAATAGGAGAGAAAAAAATTGAATGTAATTTAATAGGGGCGAAACGATGGCTGTTTTGCTCATTTAGACGAGTTTCAATCCAATGTGATAGCCAAGTTGCTATTCATATTGCCAATAATCTCGTCTTTTATTATCACACAAAGCATATTGAAATTGGTTGTAATTTTGTTCAAGAGAAAATTCAAAATGGACTCATTGCTCCTTCCTACATACGATCTGGTGATCAATTGATGGACCTATTTACCAAACCACTTGGAGGTGATGCCTACCAGAAACTACTACCCAAGTTGAGTGTCCTTGAAATTTTAATTCCAACTCCAATTTGAGGGGAAATATTGATGAATTCAAAAGCTTTAGCAACAACAAACTCCTTCACACATTCTTCAGCTATAGTTGCTCACAAAGAGATAACATTGTTGTATTTCTTTAAATTGTTGTTATCACTTTTTCCGCATGTAAATATTTTGTAAATCATATCTATAAATATATGATAGTAAGGAAAGCTTTGATAAAACCTTCACAATCAATTCTCTTCTGACTTTTAACAAAATTCCCATGGAAAATGAAGGTGGAAATGTGCACTTGTTTCCAATTGTATTAAATTCGGCGTTCTAATCGAAATCGAACCATGTGAACCAAAATCAGAATCAAGAATCGATTGGGTCCAGATCAATTTTTGGTTCCTGAAATAGAATCATGGGTATTTGAATAGAACCGATTTTTCATATATATTTTATTTTTTACAATTATAGGTTTGGTAAAAAAAAAAAAAAAAAAACTTTAAAAACTCAAATTCAGATAGAATTGTTTGCAAGTTAAGCTTTTTATTTTCTTGTATTGTTTACAAACTTAAGTGATTTTTTCTTACCCATTACAATTGAACTTGACATACTTGTAACTTGGATTGTGGTGTACCTTTTTTATTATATCGAGTTCTTGGTTTTCTTTTAAAATATATTCTTTTTCTCTTTTTACTCAAACAGAGCAAGTTCAATACGTGAACTACAATTTCTTGATACTATATAATTATGTATCTAATTATTATTTTTATGTCAATTCGTTATAAAACTAGAATAATTTAAGAATTTTCCATAATTGAATTATCTGCTCTAACATGCCTCATTGATGTATCAAATAAGATTTAAGAAAAAAAATCATTTCTTCTCAAACTGTAATTTAATTTTTTCTTCTTTTCGTGGTTTATAGTCTCCACTTTGTTGAGTCATATAATTGGATTTCTTAGCTTCTTGAAGATTTTTTTATCTAGGTTTTTCCCTTTGCACAAATATTGTCGAGTAGTAGCATATTAGTTATACGTATCAAAATGAATTGTATGAAAATATTAATTAAATGTATATAAAAGATATTATGGGCAAAATCAATTGGATTTTGTTCCGATAATTCCCTAAATTACATCACAAGTTTAGTACAAAAACAAAAACTATTGAAGTCCCATCATCGTCTACTTGAAATATTTTGAAACCCGTTGAATCACGCATTATCCTCACTTTGTATTCTACAGTAGAAGTTACATTCTAATCTGCAACTCATTGAAATTTAACATTTCCTTCATCCAAGATAGCCATGTGCTTCCTCTTTTTCGATAGCTTAGTGGAGTCTGTGAACTGGGCAGCTGTTCGAGCATGCAATTCCTCTCAAGAACCTGAAAAGCAGCAAGCAGGCAATTAAGAGTTGCACTAGAGCATACACACACAATATAAGGAGAAAAAGAAAAAAGCAAAATGGTTACGCGTTGCAAGGCCAACATACCAGATGACGACCGTACAAATGGGTGTTTGAAAGAGCTTGAAGGGCATTATGAGCTTCTTGCTTTGTAACATACTTTACAAATGCAAAACCTCTATGGTTGCCAAACTTCATTGGCAGCCTTAAACTCTTTACCTGCAGAGGCACAAATCATGTATCAATTAAACATTAATGTGAAATTCATAAACATCAAGAAATGAAAGTTATATATTTCATTTATTGCAACCTCAAGCTTGGTCAGGGAGTGAAGAATGGCTGAGAGAGTAGAGGCGAGGATTATTTATTGTAGGGATGACACCGCCCCATCCCCAGAATAAAGATCAGTTTGGGCTCTAAAAGAAAGTCAAAGAACAAGGCAAACTGCAAAAACAATAACAGCATTTGCCATTTTCCTCCCTCCAGCATTCCAAATGAAACATTTCATTTTTACTATCACTTCCAAGTAGCCAAAATTTTATTTAAGTACAAGTTAGAAGGCAATTGAGAAGGAGAAGTTCATAAAATAATATTTAATCAACGTAACATAGAAATCCTCAGTCCAAAGTTCGGAACTATATACACATCATCTTTCATTGCTACAAAACATAATTGACACAAAAATAAAGAACACAGAATCATTTCATTACAGCAAAAATAAAAAATAAAAAACATCAGAGACTATGCCTGGCCAAATGGACTAAACAGCTGTCAAAGATCTTCATCTGTTGCCTCAAAAGCAACATTCCTTACTATCAATTTTGTTGAACTCTTTGTCATTATCAACTTTTTTATGGTGGTTTTCATCCTCTTTAGCATGACAAAGTTGCAATATGAGGGCATGCCCATCCAAAACAGTTCCCTGAGGTGATAAATAAAAAGGTAAGACAAGAGGAGGAGAAAGTGAGAAACACACATGAAGACTCATCACATGCAATTGATGTAGAACAAGCAACAATTCAGAAGATTACCTGTAAATCCCTGCAAACATTCACTGCTGTATCAACAGAATCGAACTCTATGAAACCAAAACCCATTGAAACTTTCTTTCCATTTTTTACATGCTTCTTCACCTAAGATAGAATTAAAACGAATAGAAGATAGAGCTCCAATGACAACAGCAGTAAATGCAATAATTGAATGTACTAAATTGTTAGTAATACAAGCTGACAGGGACGAAGAAAGACCTACCCTGACACTATGTACTCTTCCTTCCTCTGAATGCTCTGTGAGATGCCTCTTCAAGTTCTCATCCGATGTTTTGAAATTCAGGTACTTTACATATACTGAGCGGGACTGCAACAAAAAACAACATGACAAAAAGACTGACTACCTGTAGTAGGAACTGTTCTAAGAAAACAACCATACTACTTGAAAAACCTAAAAGAACATACCAATATGCCACAATATCTTGCACTATAATCAGGAAAATATCACATAAAACTCAATGTTTTTGCACTTTAATCCTTTCACTTTATACTATCAGCAGTCAGGAAAAAAATAACTAGCACTCGCAAATCAATATATCATCTATCACAAATAGAATTAACCATGCAAAAGGCCTATCCTCCTCCAAAAATATAGTCAAATAGTTGATTGCAGCAGGTCTATGTGGAATTATTTATCAAGATCAAATTGATGCAGGATGCTATGACAGAATTATAGACAAAGGGGAAAGGGAGAGACGAAGAGAAAAGAGGAGAATGAGGAAATATCAATTTATCATATATCAAAGGTTCTTTTACTACAAAACGTGATAGCCCTTTATATAAGAATTCAATTATTCTATTCTAAGCGGGAAATATATAATAAAAGCAACTAAACTAAATCTAATTATGTTTCCTAAAATACGAATTAAAATTGAAAACTAAACGTAACAATGTTCCTTCTAATATTGTATCATTTCTCTCCGGTTAAGAGAACTCAATTCCGATGAGGTAGACTGGAACTTCATACTCCTAGGAGCGCTATCTTTTATTTTGACCAAATGTTTGTTTCTTATTTATAATGAATATAAAAGACCTTGCATCAAGCATGCAAGTATACTACGGAGAATGATAACGAAAACAATTAGAGTCCAGAAATAACCTCAATTCTATCAGGATCAATATCCATATCTGTTATAACTTCTAGCTTTTGCTCTAGCAGAACTCTGTTGGAGTCATGTTCATCCACAATAACATTATCATTTGAATCATCCACTGAGGTAG